CCAACACTTTTCCCCAGGTGAATATTGCGAGCTCCATGTCCACTGTAAAACCAGCTTCGTGGGCTACTTCCCAGCCACGGTGCTCTGGGAGCTGCTTGGACCCAGGGAGCCAGGTTCAGAAGGAGCTGGCACTTTCTACATCGCTCGCTTCTTGGCTGCTGTGGCCCATAGCCCCCTGGCAGCCCAACTGAAGCCCACGACACCCTTCAAACAGACCCAAATTACTGGCAACCGTGTGGCAACCAGCCGGAGGATCGAGGAAGGAGAGAGGCCTGACTGGTAAAGAACGCTTTCCCTCCAGCCTGTCTGGGCTGGGGGGTTTCCCAACCTCCACAGTGGGGACCCAGGGAGCACACAGGGTTGGATGAACCTCCCTTACCTGATGACTGGGTTACCTTGCTATGGGATCAGGCAGGGTTCCCAGCTTCTCGGGGTCTTAGAAAGTTGCCAGTGAACCACAGATACGGGTGCGGGGAATGTCAAGTACTCTCCTTGGTGTGATTGACTACCTGGCAGCCCATTGTAGGTGCCTCTTTTTGACCTAAGTTCTCACAAAACATTGAGTTAAGAAAGCAAACAGTAACAATGCTCTCACCGTTAGATCATTGTGCTCTTCTTTAAACTAAACACGTTTCGAGTGGCATGAAGTCAGCTCCCCATGACTCCAGGGGCAACAGAAGCACCATTTTCATGATTGTCAGCATGCTTACCTCTTATTTTTGCCCTTGCAACCCAGAGAGTCTGTGTCTCTGTGTACACGCACGCACACGCAGGCACGCGCATGCGCCTGCTCCCACCACATCTGAAAGACTGGAAGACCAAACAGTTAACATTGGTTTTTCTCAGGTAATGGTGGGAATGTTGTATATTTGTTCATTTATGACATGTTTCCTGAGGAGCCCTGGTGGTTATGCATTGGCTGATAACAGAAAGGTCAGCCGTTTGAAACCACCTGCAGCCTCATGGAAGAAAGATGAGGCTTTCCACTCCGGGAAAGAGTTAGTCTTGGGAACTCACGGGGCAGTTCTACCCTGTCCTGTAGGGTCACTGTGAGTCAGAGACAATGGGTTTGGTTTTTGATTTCTTGAACGTGGAGGAGCATGGTGATATAATGGTTAGGCACTGGGCTGGTAACCAACAAGGTCCGCAGTTCAAACCTCCTGGCCGCTGTGCAGGAACAAAGCCAGGTAATCTGCTTCCATAAAGATTACAGCCTAACGCGATGGTGGTGGGTAGACTCTGAAGGCTGAGGACATGGAACTATATGTGTTAGACAGCCTAGAACAAAGACCCTGTGGGGCAACTGTACTTTACCAATGGGGGTTGCTATAAGCCACCGTCAGCTCAATGGCGCCACCTAACAGCCCAGAACATGAATTAAACCAGAAAACAAAACCTGATGCTGGTGAGTGGATTTCCACCTGAGGGTGTCTGCAGGACGCAGTAGGACCACCCACAGGGACTTTCTGCCCTCCCAGAAGCCGGCTGCCTGGTCCCCCGTGGGGCAGCTGGTAGTTCCAGTTCACAGCCTGGAGCTTAACCACTGGGTCACCAGGGCTCCAGGAGCATCTGTTACTCATGCGACTTTTTTTATATACTTCCCTCTCACCCCCAAACCATTTTATTAAGAGCTAATCCAGATATCCTGTCATTCCATAGTTCAGTCACACTCATTGGATATTTTTAAGTGTTTTTAAGTATCCTGCTTTCGAGACTGAGAAGGGTCTGACACTGCTCAGGGAATCTCTCACCAGGCCGCCTGCCCCCGTGGGCCCACCCCCCCCTCCAGTCCCAGCCAGGGAGGCATGTGTGTGGCTCTCCTTCCTTCCCGTCCCTGCAGTGGGAAGGGCTACGACCTGGAGCTCAGCCTGGGCCTGGGGACATACTACCCACCGACCCGCCTCAGGCAGCTACTCCCCACGCTGCTTCAGGAAAGAAGCATCTTCACTGCCCCCAAGGAGATCGCTGAGACCAAGTGAGTGGCTCCCCTCCCGCCCACCCACCTTCCCTGTCTGGCTTAAAATACTTCCCTGCTGCTTCATGCCGTGACCCAATAACCCCCACCTCCTGGGCCCCCTTGTGTCATTTGTTCATTCATTCGCTTACTGAGCACCTACTGGGTGCCCAGTACTGTTCAAGGGGCTCCCACGAACACCGCAGCAAACCCGATAGATGAGGCTGCGGCCCCTAGTGGAGGGGCGTGAGTCAGGACGGTGATCATCTAGTTTTGCCTACACTGAGTGCTCTGAAGAAAACTAAAGACAGGGGCAGACAAGGATGGGGCGGTGGAGTTCAGGAGAGGCCCATTGGGTGTGGCCTCCCTGAGGAAGTGACGTTTGAATGAGGTGTGACGGTGGAGCCCCAGGAGGGTCCCAGGGAGAGGGTCTGGCGCAGAGCAGCCCTGGTACAAATGCGAAGAGCGGACTGAGGTAAGGCCAGGGCACCCTTCTTCGAGGTCACTGACCCCAACCCCAAGTCCCTGCCCTTGTAGTCTCCCCGGAACCCGACGGGATGAGGGTGGGTGCTCTTGCATTTGGGCCCTGTCTGAGCCCCACCCTCCCTGCCAGGGCCCAGTTGGAGACCGCACTGAAGAGCAGGAACTATGAGGCGAAGCTCCGGCTGCTGCTGCACCTGGAGGAGCTGCAGATGGAGCACGACATCCGCGCCTACGACCTGGAGTCCGTACCCATGACCTTGGACCCCGGGAACCAGAACCCCCGCCTGCTCACACTCGAGGTTGGACGGGAAGGGTGGGCTCAGGTCAGCCAAGCAACAGGCTATGGGGCAGGGCACTGGCCTAACAGCAGGAACTGAGTTGGACAAGAGGACAACAGCCAGGCAGAGAAGCAGGCTACGTGCCGCGTACAAGAGGGTGTCTGGCACTGTGGGGCTCTTCTTCTTCCCTTGACTCTTGCCCTGCTTGCTTGGGATTGCTGGAGAGAGCCTCTGTGCAGAGAGCTGGGGGAAAGGCAGGCCCTCTGGTGGCCATCCTATGATACAAGCTATGCTCACACCCCCTAGGTTCCCGGGGTGGCCGAGAGCCGCCCCTCAGTGCTGCGGGGTGACCACCTGTTTGCCCTCCTGTCCTCCGAGACAACTCAGGAGGACCCGGTCACCTACAAAGGCTTTGTGCACAAGGTAGAACTGGACCGTGTCAAGCTGAGCTTTTCCACGAGGTGGGTGTTGGGGAAACCCTCAGCTGCCCCAAGGGTCTCCAGGCTTCTCTGAGGCCAGGGGTAAGGGGGTATTTCTCCCTGAGGTGAATGGGGCCCCTGAACTGCCACGGTAGAGTCCCAGGATGGTGCAGATGACTAAGCGCTCAACTTCTAACAAAAAAGTTAGCCATTCAAACAACCCCCAGGGCACCTCAGAAGAAAGGGGCCCAGTGATCTCCTTGGAGAGGGTCCTGTCGAGCGCAGTTAGACGGTACATCCACGTTCTGTTTAGCTGCCCCAGCTGCTTTTTCCCCTACACAGCTTTGCCTGGAGTGTCTCGAGTCAGGTGGGTGGGGAGGAAGTCTGCCTTTCATTGCCCACTTCAAGACTGGAGCGCTCCTCCTCTCTCCCTTCCCCCACAGCCTCCTGAGCCGATTTGTGGATGGGCTGACCTTCAAGGTGAACTTCACCTTCAACCGCCAGCCCCTGCGCGTGCAGCACCGGGCCCTGGAGCTGACAGGGCGCTGGCCACTGTGGCCCATGCTCTTTCCTGAGGCCGCCCGTGGGGTCCCGCTGCTGTCCTCAGACATGCAGCTCAAGTGAGACTGTGGGCTACTTGGAGGATAGGCGTCGGGTGGAGTCTGGAGGCTTCCTCAGACACGGAGTGACCCGAAGCTGGTGTTCCCGGCCCTCTTATCAGGCTGTATGACCGGAATCTGGAGTCAAACCCAGAGCAGCTGCAGGCCTTGAAGCACATTCTTGTGGGCACCACACGGCCAGCCCCCTACATCATCTTTGGGCCTCCAGGCACTGGCAAGACTGTCACCTTAGTGGAGGCCATCAAGCAGGTGGGCCCTGAGCACAGACCTCTGTTGGCTGCACTCAGCATTCCCCCAGCTGCAAGCATGTGTTCCCCCGGTCCTGGCTCCCTCTAGCTTCCCAGGAGCGCTCGCTCTGAGCAGGCACCAGACAGGATGTTAGGAGCTAGGTACGATGTGGCTGGGAGTGTTGTTGTGTAGGTTGGACAGTGCACATCTCTTTGAGTCACCATGCATGATTCAGTCAGTAAAACCCACTGCTATGGAGTCTGTGGTGCCTCCGTGATTGTACAGGGCAGGGTAGCACTGCTCCTTGGTGTCGCTGAGACCCACTCTTTACAGCAGCAGGCAGCTTCCTCTTTCTCCCATAGAGCAGCTGGTGGGTTTGAATTGCCAACCACAATTGGCAGTACAGTACTTAACCCACTACACCGCTGGGCCTCCTTTCAGTCAGCATGCATAAACTCACTGCCATAGACCTGACTCCAACGTACTGCCATACTACAAGGCAGAGTAGAACAGCTCCTTTGGGTTTTCAATGCTGTAAATCTTTCTGGGAGCAGACAGCCTCATCATTTTCCTGTGAAGCAAGTAGTGGATTTGAACCCCTGACCTGCAGTTAGCAGCCCACCATGTAACCCACTATGCCACCAGGGCTCTTTCTAGTTGGCATCGATGTCTATGGCAGCATGTTTGCCTAGGGACCAGTACTTGACTCAGCAACCAGTCTCGAAAGCTGTACTACACCACCACCCCCCAGTCATACCTGACCCTCGCCCTCTGCCCAGGAAGCCCACACTGCACACTGCTTACATAACCCCTCCACCCCCAGGTGGTGAAGCACTTGCCCAAATCCCATGTCCTGGCCTGCGCTCCGTCCAACTCAGGAGCTGACCTCCTCTGTCAGCGGCTCCGGACACACCTGCCCAGCTCCATTTACCGCCTCCTGGCCCCCAGTCGAGATGTCCGCTTGGTACCCGAGGACATCAAGGTACCCGAGGAAGTGTAGGTGGGCAGCAGGTGGCCATGAATGCCAAGGAAGCACTCTGGCAAAGGCTGGGGCTGGGAAACCAGGAGCCAGGGGTTGGGGCACTTGTGGTGTGACCTGGGGTGGGTCTCAGGTTCACTGCAGTGTTGGGCTGGATACAATTGCCTAGGAGGCCCCAAGCCTGGGGGAAGGGGAGACAGGGTGAAGCTATACCCATTCCCCTTTCTCTCCACATCCACAGCCCTGCTGTAACTGGGACGCAAAGAAAGGGGAGTATGTTTTTCCCGCCAAGGAGCAGCTGCAGCAATACCGTGTCTTAATCACCACCCTCATCACTGCCAGCAGGTAGGGAGTGAGTGAGTGAGTGAGTGAGTGAGTGAGTGAGTGAATGGTGTAAGTCAGTCAAGGGCTAGTTCCCAGGGAGCAAGACCGGCTTGGCATCTAAGTGCCTGATCTGACCCATGCTTGGCCTGACACCTCCCAGGTTGGTCTCGGCCCAGTTTCCCATCAATCACTTCACACACATCTTCATCGATGAGGCCGGCCACTCCATGGAGCCCGAGAGTCTGGTGGCCATAGCAGGTGAGGTGTCTGGGGAGGGCTGCAGGTGTGCTACCCTGCATAGGCTGGTGGTCTGACTGCTTGCTTGCCTTTCTCCCCGACCATCTGCCTCCCAGGGCTGATGGAAGTCAAGGAAGCGGGTGAGCCTGGAGGGCAGCTGGTGCTGGCTGGAGACCCTCGGCAGCTGGGGCCTGTGCTGCGTTCCCCGCTGACGCAGAAGCACGGGTTGAGCCACTCATTACTGGAGCGGCTGCTCTCCTACAACAGCCTGTACAAGAAGGGCCCCAGCGGCTTTAACCCCCAGTTCATAACCAAGCTGCTACGCAACTACAGGTATCTTGCACCCTGCTCTGCCAGCTGTGTCCGAAAAGAACCTAGGGGTGGTGGTTCAGCAGCCTCAGCCTCCCCAGACCGGTTCCTACCACCTTCCAGCGGCCTTTCACCACTTCTGACCCCAAGCATCCCACCCACTCTGCTTCTCAGCTGGGTCTGATAATTCATTACAGTGAACACACAGAACTCACACGATATGAGCTTCATCAAGGAAGTGAACCAGTTACAAGCCAGGATCAGAAATATTTAAGATACAGTCCTTTGGGTCAAGACAGCCTCTCTGCTGTGTCCACAGGCAGGTCTCTCTCTGGCCCTTGACCTGGTCTCTGCTCTTTTTAGGCATTGTTACAAACCTCTTACAGTACAGCTGATAATGTCCAAAGGGCACTGCACCACACTCTGCCCTAAGCCTCAACCTGCTCTAGCTCCACAGGTTAGGAAACCTAGACCAATTAAATGCCCGGAGGTCCCCCCTCTCCTGCCCAAAGGCACTTGCACTTTACTTACTCTGAGGCTTGGGAAGCCTACCTCTCCTGTTACTCTGGTATCACAGCTGCCTGTTCCCTGGATCAAGGTGGTTCAGTGCACAGGGATCTCGGCACCAAGGATGTACGCCATGCCTGGCCCTGCTGAATGCTAGTGACAGCTTCCCTGCGTACTTCCAAAATGGCTGCTTTATACCCAGTAGGGTGCCCAACCTGACCACGGCCCACAGCAGTCCTGCATGTTTAAGTCACAACCCTGTTGACACAAGCCTATGATTGAGGAACCCAGGCAGACCCGTTGCCTTGACTGATGACTCATCATGACCCCACATGTTAGTCGAGCTGTGCCGTAATAATCTTTATGCCTATAATCTTTATGGAATCAGGTCAGCAGGCTCTTGTGTAGAGCTGCTGGGTGGCTTCAAACAGCCAACCTCTAGGTTGTCGGGCAAGCAAGCACAAACCTTAGGTGCCACCAGGCTTGAGAATTGAGATGCAGAAAGGTGAAAGGTAGAAGGCCCCTCTCCTCGCCCCATTACTGCTTTTCACAGTGAGACTTCAACAAGCGGCATCTCTCTCTAGGCCACTTGTTTGTATATCAAGAGATGATCATGGTGGCATAGTGGGTTACGTATGGGGCTACTAACCACAAGGTCGGTAGTTCAAAACTACCAGCCACTGTGTAGGAGAAAGATGAGGCGTTCTATTCCTATAAAGAGCCTCAGAAACCCACAGGGGCAGTTCTACACAGTCCTGTAGGGTTGTTGAGTTGGCATGGGCTCGATGGCAGGGGGTGTGATTTTGGTAGGTGGCCAATGGCATCTAGACCGAGATGTGGCCAGTGCTGGCCCCAGATGAACTTTCTAGATAATCCAATGAGAAAAACAAGAACAAGTACTTTTCTTCTTTTCAAAAACCTGATTGTTCACATTAGAGAGCTATTCTGCCCTTGGTAAATGAGTTCATATGGCTAACACACTCAGATGGCTTCCAGGCAGTCACCAAGGGTCAGGTAAATGCTACCGCTTGTATTCTGTCATTTGGGGTCTGACATATGCCATGATGGTGATAGTGATACCTAGTTCTCTGTGTTTTTAAAATGTCCTTCTTTAGCAAAATTAAAACCTGAGAACAGATCCCTCTTGAAATTGGGCTGGTGCATAAAAGTCTGGGCGAGAGGCTCCTTCCACATCCAGAAAACTCCCTACCATGGAGCTGGTTCAGACTCACAATGACCCCATGAACCATAGTGGCATTGTAGGTTATAGCCAATCTGCAGGCCAAAGACAAGGCTTCCTACTTCTGTAGAGTTTGTCTCAGAAAGCCCCACGGACAGTGAGTTCAGAGAGGCTCCCCGGAACCATGCCCTGGGTTCTGCACTCCATGGGCTGGCCGCAGACCCAGATCCTGGTGAGGACGGGTGTGGGCCCAGAACAGGGGTGGGCTCAGCCCCCGAGAGCTCAGAGAAGTCTGGCCCTGGACTTCGTGTTCTTCTGCCCTCCCAGGTCTCACCCCACCATCCTGGATGTTCCTAACCGGCTGTATTATGAAGGGGAACTGCAGGCCTGTGCTGATGTGATTGATCGAGAACGCTTCTGCCGCTGGCAGGGTCTGCCTCAGCAGGTGAGGCGGGGCAGGGCAAGGGCAGGGCTCCCTCTCCCAGCAGGAGGCGGCTATGAGTGGAAGCCTGGGAGGCCCGGCTGAGTTTCCTCCCACCGGTCCCTGTGTCCAGGGCTTTCCCATCATCTTTCACGGCATAATGGGCAAGGACGAGCGGGAGGGCAACAGCCCGTCTTTCTTCAACCCGGAAGAGGCTGCCACTGTGACTAACTACCTGAAGCTACTCCTGGCCTCCTCCTCCAAGAAAGGCAAAGCCTACCTGAGCCCCCAAAATGTAGGGGTCATCTCCCCATATCGGAAGCAGGTCAGACCCTCAGTTCCCAGCAAGGCTGGGACACCCTGCTCTTTCCCTCCCCCTGCCCTGCAGAAGCTACCTTAATCATTCATAGTTCTGGGGGGTTCACTTCTCTTCTGGCCTCCTTTCAGAAGGGCACAGAGGTCAGCTGACATCCTCCAGCTCCCCTGGGAAGGGGTGGCACCCTGGCTTCCCACCGGCTCCCTCTTGCATCAGGCAGTATTTGTCTGAAAGACACCTGCCTCCTCCGCGCCCCCAGGTGGAAAAAATCCGTCTCTGCATCACCAAGCTTGACAAGGAGCTTCGGGGACTGGATGACATCAAAGACTTGAAGGTGACATATTCACCACTATCCTACATTTGCTCCTTGACCACTGTGTGCCCCAACTTTCCCTGTCTTCCCAACACCTCTTGAGGTTCTCCAAAGAAGCTCCATGTGGGATGGGGTTGGGAAGCCCTAAGGAATTGCCCTTAGGATCAAGTCCAAACACCAGAGTTCAGCGGGGGTTGGGTAAATGTGCTGTCTCTCCTTGCCCCTCCCACCCTACAGGCCACCCAGTGGCTGGACAGCTTTATCAGATGGTGGGGCTGCAGGTTAAGAATCACCTGGAGAACTTTGAATGCTGCTAGGACCGAGCCCCACCCAGCCATTAAAACTGTCTGGGTGCAGGGCCCGAGCACTGGGCTGCTTTACCGTTTGTCCCTCAGGTGACTCATGGTCAGCCAGGGTGGAAATGAAAGCTACAGTATGAAGATTCAAAGTCCCTCTCCCCCTCGGAAATTCTGATTCCAGAGGTCTGGGTTAGATGTTTTCAGGAAAGCTTGAAAACACTCTGGGAGGCCCTATGTTCTCACCCCTGGCTGGCGCCAGGCCACCCATCTGCCACGGACCCGAGGCAGGGGCTCCCCCTTCAGCTCCCCCACTCCTCCAGGTGGGCTCTGTGGAAGAGTTCCAGGGCCAGGAGCGCAGCGTCATCCTCATCTCCACCGTGCGCAGCAGCCAGAGCTTCGTGCAGTTGGACCTGGACTTCAACCTGGGTTTCCTGAAGAACCCCAAGGTCTGCGGGGCTGCTGGCTGTGGGGGACCGCCGTTCTGTTCTCCCTCCCTGAGCGTGCCCCCTCCTGAACCAAGTGCTGCTTCCTCCCTTGCAGAGGTTCAACGTGGCTGTGACCCGGGCCAAGGCTCTGCTCATCGTGGTGGGCAACCCCCTCCTCCTGAGCCATGATGCCGACTGGAAAGCGTGAGTATTCCCACCCCCTGCAGCCGGTCCCCCTATGGCCACAGCCCTGGGCTTGGGGCAGAAGTACCTCCCTGAGCCGCCTCTTGGTGGCCCAGTTCCTTCCCAACTCATCCGTACAACGCTCCCACTGTGGTGTTGGTTTCCGAGTTAACCGGCAACTCAGCAACTCGGAGAGGCCACAGCCTAAGAGAGCCTATGGGACAGTTCTCTTCTGTCAGGACGAGGTAGCACTCGGCTGCCAAGCCTGTGCAGGCATGCACTAACCTGAGATGTGTCCCTGTGCCCCACAGATTCCTGGAGTTCTGTAAAGAAAATGGGGGGTATACCGGTTGCCCCTTCCCTGCTAAACTGGACCTGCCGGAAGGGCAGAATTCACTGCAAGGTCTGCGCAAGCTCAGCTCCTCAGGTACTGCTGGGCCGGCCTGGGCTCAAGGCAGGGAGAGAGGAGGGACGGAAGACTGAGCCCACTCTTCCCTCTAGGGCCTGCCAGCCAAGACTCCAAGCGGGAGGGTGAAGGGGGCCTCGCCTTGCAAGTGGACCCGGCCTGGAGGAGTGAGCTCTGAAGACACAGCTGCGGGGCCTGTGGCCTCGCACACCAGCCAAGCCTTAACCGCCTGACCCACAACCGGAATCCTGCCTGACATGACCCAGCTGCCTCTGCGCCGTGGGACAGGAGGCTGGCCGGGGGGAAGAGTTTACAACTCAAGCCATTCCACCCCCACCTCTGCTGGGGACAATGACACACACACACAACGAACTGCTAGCAATCGGGGAGGGGGAGGAAGAAAACGCTGAAAACAAAAAATCTTGTTTTATGTAAAAGTCTCCATGACTCATGGGGGTGGGGGACCCAGCTTAAAGTGTCCCCAAGCTGCCCAACAGAGAAGGGTGGAACTGTGGAACCAAGTGCAGGGCCACACCCCTCCCTTCCAGAGCCCTGGAGGAAACCCAGTGGGAGGTGGCCGTGAAGCCACCCACAGCCTTCTAAGTTTAGCCCCAGCTGCAGAGACCCCTCCCCTTGCCTGCCTCCTAGGCCCAGAGCCAGGCATGACCTCATCCCTTGCTCCAAGGCCCCACCCACCAGCCCAGTGGCCTAGCTGCAGCGTGGCCAGCCTGGCAATCCACTTGAAGAGCTGGGACTCCAAGCTAGCAGCCAGGCCAAGGGATCATGGAAGACAGACAGGAGGCTGCCACACACCTGTTGGACCCTATGTCCTTTATTCATACCCCCAGCAGAGTACAGTCAGAGACAGGGCTCGGCTCAGCTCCTGCCCAAAGCCAGCTCGAGGGCTGGGAATCTGGGTCCATCACCTTCCAATTTGCCTGCCCGATGCTGCTGGCAGCCAGAAGTGTATAAAGTGCTGGTGTGTGACAGGTCTCTGGGGAAGGCCAAGGGGAGCAAGAGCCCCACCTAGGCACAGGAACTCTGGGAAAGCAGGGCCCTGGCCAGGGGTTCCCAGAAGGCTGCGAGGGGACCATCACCACCACAGGCTGGGGAAGCTCCGTGCAGTCCTGGGCTGGAGAGAACTGAAAGAGGGCACCTTCAGCCCGGAGTCCTGGGAGCTCAGGGAAGGGGGTGTGTTACTACACTCCTGGGAGAGGGGAGGGGCTGGACTGGGCAGCTTTGGGAACCTCACAGGATGGAACAGCCTCTCCGCCGCTTATTCTTGCGGACCTGGAGCCCCGCCCGGGTGGCCATCTCAAACACCTCCCTCACCCCCTCCTTAGTCTTGGCTGAACACTCAAGGTAGCCAAAGGCGCTGATGCGATTTGCCATGTCCCGGCCTTCCTCAGAGCGGACGGGCTCCTGGGAAGACAGAAGATAGAGAGGAACTCACCCCCTGACCCACAAGTGTAGTCACAGAACAAACATGAGGGGGCTTCAGACCATGGAAACCAATGTGCTCTCTCCATTCCATTTCCCATGAGCGTTGTGGAGCCCTCTCAGCTCCTACAGCCCCAACTATACCAACAAACAGGCCCCAACCTCCTTGGACAAGCTCCAAGCCAGGAACCCAAGATGTTTACTTTTCAGCATCTACTCCATAACTAGCCTCCCTCCCTCCATTCTCCTGTCCCCATATGGCTGGCAGAATGCACAGCCAACCAGTTTAGACCCTTGCCATAATGATCCTCACGGGACAGCCCACATACCCTGGCAGCAGCTTCCTCCAAGAAACTAGTTTTCAGGCTACAAGCTACTTACCAATCCCCCCAAAAGCTGGTCCCCTCCCTGCTCTGAACCCATCCTCTAGACACAAAGCACCCCAACCTTCACAATCTGTACCTCACACCCCCAAGTATTCTCTAAAGGCACCCACCAACTAAGAAAACCCAAACCCATGCCAGCAAATCAATCTCAACTCGGTGCGTTTCTTAGGGTTCCAGAAACTACATTTCCCCTCTTATCTTTCTCCGTGTTGGTGGACTTGAGCCACTGACTGGGCCTGTTACACTACCTGGGCTTCCAGTAAAATAACCTAAGAAACTATCTTCTAAAGAATAGATTTTAGTAGCCCGGCTCCACAGCCAGACCAGGTAGATTGGAAAAATCGATCCCAGTAAGGAACCCTGGACAAGTCATTTCATGCTGACAAGACAACTGGGCCAGATAGCCCAGGGCACTTGGCACCGTTTGGTGGTGTGCCTCCAGCACTGGGCAGCCTCCTGCGGAGAGGGCTCCCACCACACCTCCCCCAACGCCTGCCATGCCCAGAGGGTACTGCACTTGCCTGCTTCATCTTGGCCAGTTCTCTCCTGGTATGTTCATCTTGTCTCAGGTCCTTCTTATTCCCGACGAGGATGATGGGCACATTAGGGCAGAAGTGCTTCACTTCTGGGGTCCACTTCTCAGGAATGTTTTCTGCACAGACATGTCCCAACAAGTGTCCATTGTACTACCGGGGGCAGGACACACCCCTCTGGGGCCTTGTCTCCCCACAGTCATCTACATAGCATGAGGCTTCCTGTCATAGCTCAAAGGTCCTCACCCTTCCCTGCGCCACACTGGGGAGCCAGGCAAGGGAACCGCCACCAGCACCCCCAAAACTTCAAGGGTTCTGAATCCCCCCACCTCACCCAGGCTGTCGGGACTGTCGATGGAGAAGCACATGAGGATAACATCAGTATCCGGATAGGAGAGAGGCCGCAGGCGGTCATAGTCTTCCTGCCCAGCTGTGTCCCACAGAGCCAGTTCCACCTGATGCACAGGGACAGTGAGTGGTTAGCCCCAAGACTGTGGTCACCACACCACAGCCCTGCCACCCAGAAGCCCTCTGTAAAGCCACTAAGCCTCTCTGTCCACCAAACAGTATTGAGGATGGTGCTGACCTCTGCCTAGCTGAGGCTGCCTAAAATCCTAAGACATCTGGCACTTGACCTGGGTCAGGCAGCAATGTATGAGTCGTCACTGGGAAAATCATGCAATCCTCACGACAGCCCTTTAAGGGTAATCTTAGCACCGTCCCCATTTTGTAGTTGGATAAGTTTCAACCCAGAGGCTACATGTCTTAGCGCAGGTTAGAAAGCAGGTGCATGGTGGAATCAGGAAGTGTACCCAGATTCTCCAGCATCCCTAACTTCTGGCTTCAGCTGGGAGAGTGGAGCAAGGCAGTGTGTGGGTGGCCAGAATGAGTGCGAGGTGAGCTGGGGAGGGGCCCTTGGCCTTCACCTGCTTGCCGTCCACCTCGATGTCTGCGATGTAGTTCTCAAAGACCGTGGGGACGTACACCTCTGGGAACTGGTCTTTGCTGAAGACGATCAGGAGGCAGGTCTTCCCACAGGCCCCATCCCCCACAATCACCAGCTTCTTTCGGATTGCAGCCATGGCTGGGGCTGTTGGAGGAAGAAGCAGAGGGGCTTTGGAGAAAAGCCAGCAAGGCCAGAACTAGTGTCCTGGGGGCTCCTGAGAGCCTATGGGAACAAAGATCCATCAAAGTGGGTAAGGGGCTCGCTCAGGCATGTTCTTGATAGGAAGCGATTTCAAGACAACAGAGCTCCAGATTCCTCAGGGTTGGGGCTGGTCTCCCCAGGGGGAGGTGGAAGAACCCACCTGGGAGCCAGAGAACAGGAGTGGTGGTGGAGTCCACTCACCAACCAGGAGCCTGGCCCAGGTGAAGTTACTCAGAGATTGGGGACATGTCCAGAGGAGCTGACTTGTATCTGTTTGACATACCAGGTTTTCAGACCTTTTGATGCTTTAATAATTGCAAGGGTCCAAACTAGCGCACAGTCACACGACAGGTGCTACCCTCTGCCCAGTCACAGACCAGGAGCCCCTCTCCCACCACCACAGGATAACATAGCCAGCCATCGGTGGGTGAGGGAAAGGATATTGATCTAGGGGCCAGGCACTGTGTTGGACATTATGGCTCAGCGAGGTTACGTGTATTTTCGTCAGCACAGAGGCAGGACTCAAAACCAGGCTGTGGGACTCGGGTGTATGTCTTTTGTACACATCACTCTGGAGGGGGGGAAGGGGGGCAGGAGCAGGGAAACCCACACGGGACAGTGGCAGCAGCCAGCCTGTCTTCCATTGCCCACCCCAGCTCAGTCCCCAGAGCCCCAAGTCACACAAAAGCAGCTCAGTCCTGGCAGTGCCCACAGCCCGTACTTGGGCAGCTTGCCTTCCTCTCTGGCCTGGCAGCAACACTGGGGCACTCAGCGCCAGGCAGGGGACAATGACCACACTGTAGGGAGTCACATCCACCACAGCAGTGCAACTGAACCCACCAGGGGATCACATTTTCCCCCTCTCTGGGGCAGCCCCTTCCTCCCCTTTGTCTGCCTCACCAGAAGGCCCTGCCTACCCCTCCCTGTGACTCAGGGCAAGGAGTCAGCTTCCAGGGCTTTCCACTTGTCCCCTTCCCCCAGCACACTTGAACTTGCCGATGTACAGCTCATCACCCCTTGACAGGAGGAGCCTCACTTCCTCCAGCCATGGGGAGTGGCGGCCCTCCAGCAGCTGAAGTCTGGGCCGACCGAAAGGGGGAGAGGGCTGGAGGCGGGGCAGGGAGGAGCCCCAAAAGAAGAAGCGAATGAGGGCCAGACCCAGCACCAACAAAGCAGGAAAGAGTTAAAGCCGAGGGACTGTAACCTGATCTCAGCCCCAAACCTGGTTTTTACGCTTGGTCCCACTTCCTGTCAAACTGGGCTGAACTCTAGACTGCCGGCTCACCACCACCTCCTCATAGCCCGGCCCCAGCCCGCTCTCCCCAACGGTGGGAGTCTGGGAGGCCCCGCCCCCTCCACACATTCACAAAACCGGGATGATGAGAAGTGGATGTGAGTCAGAGGAAATTTATAGGAGGGGAGCTTACAGTACAGCCTCACTCTCACCACAAAAGAAGCACGCCCCTCCGGGATACCCCAGCAAGGCAGACTAGTCACCTTGCAGAAAGGCAGCTCCCCCGACTCCCCACCAATGGAAACCATCCTCTCCAAAGAGTCCGCTGGAAATTCTACCCAAATGACAGACACTAGGGTGACGCTAAGGTTTCTTCCAACTCCCCCCAACCCCACTAGTTCAACTGGTCCTGTTCTGAAGGTGGGCTGGGGCACCGAAATCTGGTACGGGTAGTATGGCTGCTAGACACTCATCCACCAGGTGCACACCACTCCCGCCCTCCCCCAACGGAGCAGTTTCGGTGGCACCTGACAGAGGCCAGGGCCGGAGCCCTAGGGGCAGGGACATGCATGCATCAAGTGACCTGGAGCTTCCTCCAGGCTCTGGTTGGGTCAGAAGAGCAACTGGCCTACGCCACCAGGCCCAGGGCCAAGATGGCAGGGACAACATCTCCCTGTGAGGCAGTCCCAGAGAAAAATGCTCCACTGACCCTAAGATGGGCAATCAAACTCCTGCACCCGGGGCTGGAATGAACCTGGCGCTTCTGGGGACTTTTCTGAGGGAAGGCAAGGCGTATACACACACCCTTCTTAACCGTTCGCTTGATTTACCAGCACATCAGGGTGTGTGTGTGTGTCTGATGTACCCCTGGGGTCCACAGAAGGTACCAGTGTTCCGGAGATAAAACGTGCTCAACTTTAAAACCAGAACTGCGGGCAGGATTCTGCCTCGGGCCTCCCTCCGGGGTAATCTTGGCTCAGGAGCGTGAGAGAGGGGCAGGGCGGGAGGAAGGAGATCCTTTTACAAAAAGAAAGAATGGAGCCGAGCTCTTTCCTCTGCCCCCTACCCCCACCCACCCCAGGCATGCTCCGTGAACCGTCTAGGGCGGCGTCCAGGCTCGGCCAGACGCAGCGTACGGCCCCCACCGTCACAGCCCGCCCCCTATTCCCGCCATTCCGCTGCCCCGCCAGGGGGAATTCCCACCCCCACTCGCGCACAGACCCCCTCGGCCCGCCCCAGGCCAGGTCGGCCGGGCCTGGGCGCTAGTCTAACTGGGACTTCCTTGTGGCGAGCCAAGTCGCCCCTTCGCTCTTCGCCCGCCCCGCGGGGACACGCTTCAGGCGCCGGGCAGAGAAGGAAGGGGGAAGGTTCCAGCTCGGCCACCGGGAGGCGGGGACCCCTGCCCCTCCTCGCTGCAGTGCTGGGAGGGGCTGGCCGGGCCGGGC